TTTTACATGATGCTCCTACCTTACACATGTTTAAAAGGTAAATTAAAAGTAGATGTCATATGTATTATCACCTCTGTTTTTTCAGTCTTTGATGATGGCACTCACTTATGCAATCCCCAAAACATGCAATATTGCTCTAAGTTTCTATTTTGAAAGCTGGGTCGAGAGGATGAGGGTCATGTATGTGACCATCCCTACCAAAATAGATACAACACTATGTATCAAGGAGTCACTGAGGGATTTTACGAGTTGTTGAGCATGAGTATTGCACTTATGGATTCAGGAACTGTGGAGATACTTCCAGTGAGGGCCCACAGACCTATTGAGCTCACTCTGAAACAGATTTGGACCAAAACTACATTTATTCCTTGAACTACCATAGGATTCCAATTTGAATAGTGGCCCACAGTAGTGCTTTTGAGTCCCCAAGAACTAGAATCAATTCAGACACATGTCTAGTAATCTCTGATATGCATGGATATTTCATTTCCCCCACAGCACCGTCGCTCTCAGAAATCAAAGTTTTGGCAGATATTCAAGATATACTTGAGGCTGTGTTGCAGGATCATTCCTCAAAGGGACTACTGTTCTTCAATCAAAGGACCTTGGGGCATCTGTAAATTGGCTTAGTCTAGAATCTGGGTGAGAAGTTGTGACTCTGTATTTTGATAGAAGGAATTTGTCCACCCAGCCTAGTGTCTTCCCTGTTCTATAACCCAAGTAATATTTAAATAGGCAACCCACTAACTTAATTCAGAGCATTATTATGAACTGTTAGCCTTTCCCAAAGACCCCTATGACTCAAACATTCTGGTTAGCACTTTATTCCTGCAGCCCATACCAATATTCCGATTTCTCTAAGCCCTTGGATTTTTTTTTCCTATACGTTATGTGAGCAAAGTCTTCGCATCTCGACCTCATTGAATGTAAGGCTCTATGGTGTTCAAGTTTCAGTCAACCATGTAAAGCTATAGATCCATTTCCAACTGTGCAAGCTAGCACAATAAATCCCGTCTCTGGTAAGTGCTCCCACGTTAATAAAGTCGGCGTAATTCAGTGTTTATTCTATCATCCATATTCTAACACTCCTAGAATTCATTCCGTCATATACTCCCCTGGTCCCTGCCAATATAAATTAGTAAAATACTGCAATTATTTTGGAGTAGACATTATTTCCTCCCAATTTAGACTTTTTAACTTGTCTCTCTGGAGCATGTTGAGATCTGATTTTGGTTTGCATCTACAGACAATAAGTAGTGGCAGAGGTTATTACAGGGTCTCAAACTAGGGGTGGCTAAATTTGTCATATAGGGGAGCTCTGGTTGCTTTCACTGGTGAGGATGCTCAGGCATACTCAAGCAGTTCTAGATTCTCAGCTGGCCACCTGCAACTGTCCATTCCACATCCCAAGGTTCTTTTCATTCTCAATGTCCTAACTTTCACATGAGAGTCTTGGCAAAACTGTATATTTAATTTACATGGTAATTCTGCAAACCTCACAATTGAATTTTGATTTTTAGTGAAGTGGGCCCGCCCTGTGGCTACAAGAAATGAGATTCTTCTAGGCTGACTGTTATAAGTTCTCTATTTGTGCTGAGAATTTAGAGCATTGAGCCTCATTGTGTAAATCCCCAGTACAGGAAAATATAGCCATGTCTCCCCACAGTCCTTGAAGTACCTATAGTCATCATCACAGTAGTCACTTGGTCCCCCTACACAGTGCTTCAATAAGTACTTCATCACAATCAACACTGGGTGGTAACTTAATTAATTGTGATGCCACTACATGCCTATTCCCCATTGGACAGGAGTTTAGCACTGTGTTTAAGGCCAAAGACATGCAGAAACCAACCCCAGATTCCCATTTTATTTGTCTCTGTTGTGATCACTTCTGGTGCCAAGTCCAGAAAAGGGAAACTAACCAAGAGAAATTAATATAGGGAATTTGTGGAAAGGTATTAGAGGACTGAAAAGGCGAAAAAGGAACACTGAGGTATACAGAGGTAGGATTTGTTGAAAGCAGCTAAATTCCCCCTAAGGCTAGGGGTAACAAAGAGATTGGGATTATCATACCTAGAAACTCTCACCATGGGCCTCATTGATCTGGGTTCTGGATCAGAGAGGATAAGGTATTGCCCAGTGGTGCTGGTAGTTTAGGACTCAGAAAAGGGGTCTTGTGGAGCTGATAGGTGGACTTCTGAGGAGGTAATGCTGAGCTGGTTCTGTTATCCTAGGGACTTGCAAGAGTGGCCTCCAAAAGCTGTGACTCAGACCTCAAAGGAAAGGATGCTGCCCACCCAGGGCTGATACCCAGGCACTTTGAGGAGTGGCCTAGTAGAGCTGGTACTGAGACCTTTGAGAAAGGGATACTGTTTCCCAGAGGACTGAAGGATTGCTTTGCAGATCTAGTTCTCAGACTTCGAAGGAGAGGGTACTGTTCAGGTGGTGTTCATATATTTGATGGGGCTTGATGGAGCTTTTTTTGAAAATGTGGTTATCAACTATCCACCACCAGCAAAAAAAAGCACCATTGCGGGGCTCCATGGAGAGTAATAGCAGGCAAACAGGAAGTAACAAATCTCTTGTTCCCTCCTTTTGCCTTTTAGTTTGCCTGTAGTGCCCCTATTGGCAAAACCTAAAAGGAAGCCAGTTAACAATGGAGAAATATAGTTTGCAGAGTCCCAGCCCCAGTAGCACAGACCAAACTGTGAATTTGTAGGTTTGAAATTGAGTAAATATTGGATAATGAGCATAAGAGGTGTCACAGAATTGGTGCTAACACCTTCTGTGGTGATAGGAAATAGCCAAGTGATAACTATGATCTGTATAAAGCACTTCGATAGTTTCTACTTTATTGTGCTTCATTCATTTGTGGCCCACCAAAATGATTTCATGACCCATTATGGTTTGTGACCTGTAGTTTGAAAAACACTGAATTAGGCTGTGACTGAAGATGAGTGAAGACCTAAGATAGAGTTTTGAGGAGTTTAAGGCACCTGCAGAAATTGTAGAAAGTATTAATGATTGATGCAGAGGAAGATTCCCACACTGCTTTGCAGTGCCAGTAATGGTAGAGGGAAGGGCTTTGGAGTGACACGGTTCACATAATTAATGGTTATGAGATGTTCCTTCAAAGACTGGTCTGTCTCAAAGTTTCTTGGCAATAAACTTTCATATTATTATCTAGCAATGTTTCTGACAAAGGTTAATTTAGGTTAACTTCCTTCTCTAGAAAGCTTTATCTTTCATAATCCTCTCCCACTTCACTCATTCCCATCTTAATGTCTCAAAGTCTATAGCAAATACCAAGAACACTACGAAGAGAGACGTGGAAAGGAAATCTGGAAGTTAGAATTTCACCTCTATCAGAGACGCTTGCTGTAAGAGGTTTAACCTAATGATCCTGGTTTCCCTTTGTGGGATATGGAAACCAGCCATTAGTTCCAGGAAAGTACTGTACTGAGGTGGATGCCAGTTTTCTTGCCATCATAAACCAAAAAAACAAAAAACAAAAAAACCCGTTGTACAACTGTCCTATAGGGTTTCCAAGGAGTGGCTGGGGAATTCAAACTGCTGACCTTTTGGCTGGCAGCCATAGCTCGCCATAGCTCTTAACCACTGTGCCAGCAGGACTCCCTTGCCATCATAATGCTAAGGATATTGCTCATCCTGTATACTGCTGATTCCATCATTTGTCTCCCTGTTTAGACTATCCAGGACACCAGTATCTATTAATAATTTGTCTCCAATTGGTTAAGAGCTTGGCTGCTAACCAAAAGGCCGACAGTTCGAATTCACCAGCCACTCCTTGGAAACCCTATAGAGCATTTGTGTTCTCTCCTACAGGGTCACTATGAGTCAGAATCAACTTGATGGCAATGGGTTTGGTTTTGGTTGTTTTAACTTTTGCTTTAAATGTTAAGCAAATTATTAATGATCCTTTTAACTCAAACTTAGTGAGTGAGCAAAATTAACTTCAACCTGAGCTAGAATTTATATTTTCAACAGTAATGAGGTTTCAAAGTCTACTCAAATTGTGGTCTTCTGATCATTAAATGAACTGACTCTAGGCTTAAGCTCCTCAATCCAGTTTTCTACAGAAAATTCAAACTGCAATTGGTAGATCCAGGTAACTTACCAGCCATGTAAAAAATAGAATAGAATCTATGTTGACTTGACCAAAATCAGTCTCTTGTTATGCTTAAGAACACAATGCAGCTGGGCTGGGTGGAAGGAAGACTGCTGCCTTCATGCTGTGATAGGAGGCCCATGGGGCTGTGTGCCCTGTCCCAAAACAGCAGCCCCATTACCTGCTACCCCATCAGTGTGGCTTCCTTCCTGTGAATCCCTGGGGCTTTTCTGCAGATAAGAATGTGTTTTAAAATAATAATTTATCTTTATTGGCCAAGGTCTCCCAATACCAATAAGCCCATAAGTGGGTTTTGTTGACTGTTAACTTAGATCATGAGTGAGACCTAAATAAGATGTCTGCAAAAAATAAAGGAGAGATGGAACAAACCACCTGAATAAAGGAAGGTAAAAAAAAAAAAAAAAATGATGTGTATTGGATGCATTGTCCACATGCTTGCTAAAGATAATAGGGTAGGTTTTTGGATGGAGAAATTTGTGAGTCAAATGCCAACATGTCTTTAATATGGAAAATTTCATGCAGTTTTACATGTTTAGAGAATAGTATATAATGCATCCTTCATCCAGGTTCAACAATTATCCACTTATGACAGATCTTCATCTATCCCCCTAGAGTCCAACCCTCTCAAATATATGAGAGAAGATCTAAGGCAGTTTATTGCTTCAAGCCTTGTCCCAGTTCAAGAATCATTTTTACCTTCTTTCTGTCTCCCATCCTACCTATCCCACCAACCCTATTCTAGCTCTTCTTTTATTTTCACTTTCAGCACCGCAGCTCTGATGTTCCAACTCTGCCAGGATGGATCCATAACAATTCAGCTCTGTACACTGAGCCAGACCAGCAGTGTCTCATGCCTTGCCCTCTTCTATTCTGGACAGTTGGCTCCATAATGGCAGGGGGTGAAGGCCTAGTGCACATCAGGGTCATTCCTCTCCTGCTCTGGGTAGGAGCGTCTCTGTCCGTTTCTGGCCACTCCCAGGCCAGGCCTTCCCAGCACTTCATCTCTCCGGAAGTGATGATCCCTTTGAAGGTGACTGGCAGAGGCAGAAGCGCAAGGGCTCCAGGCTGGCTCTCCTACAGTCTACGGCTTGGGGGCCAGAGACACATTGTCCACATGAGGGTCAAGAAGTTCTTGGTTTCCAAACACCTCCCAGTGTTCACCTATACAGACCAGCGTGCCCTCCGTGAGGATCAGCCTTTTGTCCCAGATAACTGCTACTACCATGGTTATGTGGAAGGGGTGTTTGAGTCCCTGGTTGCTCTCAGTACCTGTTTTGGGGGCTTTCGAGGGGTGCTACAGATAAATGGCCTCACTTATGAAATTGAACCCAGGAGGCACTCTGCCACATTTGAACACCTGGTGTACAAGATAGACAGTAATGAAACACAATTCTCACCCATGAGGTGTGGCTTAACAGAAGAGGAAATAGCACGCCAATTGGAGTTGCAAAAGACATATAATTCCACACTGAAGCAAAGTTCTTATCATGGATGGTGGACCCACCGGCATTTTCTTGAACTGGTAGTGGTGGTGGACTATAATCGATTTCTTCACTCACTTAGAAATACCTCAGTGGTGCAGCAGGAAGTATTTATTGTTGTCCATATTGTGGATTCCTTATATGGCCCTTTTGATGTTGATGTAATTTTGATTGGTATTGAGATCTGGAATGAAGGAAACCCATCTTTATCAAATGACATAGATCAGGTTGCGGAGGAATTTTCCATTTGGAAGAAATTGCACCTCGATGCACGACTGCCAAGTGATACTACACATCTTTTCATAAAACAATCATTTGCTGACAAGCTTGGTATTGCCTATGTTAGAGGAATATGCGTTCCTCCTTTTAACTGTGGAGTTGATAGTTTCCAAGGAAACCAGTTGTTTTCTTTTGCCCTTATTGTGACCCACGAGCTTGGTCATAATTTGGGTATGCTGCATGACACTAAATGGTGTGTGTGTGAACAAAAATGGTGCATAATGTTTCCCAGTCAAAAGATAACAACTAAATTTAGCAATTGTAGTTATGCAGAATATTGGGACAACACTATCAGGAAAGGAGTTTGTCTTCGCTCTCCTCCAAATCCAGAGAAGATCTTTAGGGTGAAGTTCTGTGGAAACCTAATGGTTGAAGAAGGAGAGGAGTGTGACTGTGGAACCATACATCAGTGTGCTAATGATCCCTGTTGTCTTTCAAACTGCACTCTGAGTCCAGGGGCTGCTTGTGCTTTTGGGCTATGCTGTAAAGATTGCAATTTTATTCATTCAGGTTATTTGTGTAGACAACAGGTCAGTGAATGTGATCTTCCAGAGTGGTGCAGTGGAACTTTTCATCAGTGCCCAGAAGATGTTTATGTGCAGAATGGGATACCCTGTAATGACAGTGCCTACTGCTATGAAAAGAGATGCAATAGCCATGATACACAGTGTAAAGAGATTTTTGGCAAAGATGCAAGAAGTGCATCTCAGAGCTGTTACCAAAAAATCAACACTCAAGGAAATCGTTTTGGTCACTGTGGTATTACAGACATAGTATATCTAAAATGTGAGACCCCTGATATCCTGTGTGGGAGAATTCAGTGTGAAAATGTGGGAGTAATTCCCAATCTGACACAACATTCTACAGTGCATCAGATTCACTTCAATGGCACCACTTGCTGGGGCACTGACTATCATTTAGGGATGTCCATACCTGATATTGGTCAAGTGAAGGATGGCACAGTATGTGGTTTGGAAAAGATCTGCATCCACAATAAGTGTGTCCATCTATCTTATCTGCCACAAGATTGTCAGCCTGAGACCTGCAACATGAGGGGGATCTGTAACAATAAACAGCACTGTCACTGTGACCATGGGTGGGCACCTCCCTACTGCTTGATGAAAGGCTACGGAGGTAGTGATGATAGCGGCCCACCTTACAATGTCATAGAAGAGGTGGGAGGTGTGGCTTATCCATCATTATGGTGGCTCATTCCTTTGATTATTTTATTTTTTTATTTCATCCTTGTGCTTTGTAAGACAGACATAAAAGAAAAGGAAGAAAAAGAGGAAGAAAAGGATGAAAATAAAGAACAGGAAGAAGAATAAGGCTCACACTTTATTACAAAATATGTTTAATTTTTCTTTTTAAGGCAGAGAAACATTAGGGCATGGCCTATGGTTTAAAATAACACCCAGGGATCCCTCATGTCAGGATCATAAGCATTATATAGCACATCAAAGTATCCCTAGCATGTTTCTATTTACTCTTCAATGTTTTAAGCAATATTAAAAGCTCATTTTTCCTGGAAGTCGTCTCTATGTTTCCTGAAAAAAGCATAGCAGTGACATAGTTTTGAAGCTGTTGTCTCTCATTTCTAAACCCCCTCCGACTTTTGCACTCTACTATGTAATGTTCTGGATGTGCTTCTAAGGAACCACAGTTCTGTTTTGCCAGCTCCCTTCCTGTTAGTTGTGCCAACTGAGGGCAGTAGAAGTAGACTGGAGCAATAGACGAGGGGAGAAGGGAGTTTACTTTCCTGTGTGCTTAAAGTTATGATCAGTGTCATTTCAGATGGGGCCATTCACTTAGGTAACCATATTTGGTTTTGGATTCTAGTTTTGTTTGCAGTATTAGAACCATCCTCCTGCTCAGAAATACCAGCACCAGTCAGCCACTGACCCCCTCGGAGATTTGCTTTTCACCTCTGGGGTTGGCAGAGTGAGCATCCTCTGAGCTCCTGAGGCACCAGCAGAAGCTGGTCACTGTGCTCTCCTTAGAGGTTTGGGTCTCCACTCTGCGGGGATCTCCTTTAATCATCCATGCTCTAATAAACCCAACTTTTTCCTGTGTCGCTGGCCTTAGAGGTGTTAGGTGCTTTTTGTCGTTACTATGTTCATTGTGTTAGGTTGGGTTTTCCAGAAACAGATTGGAGTTTAGGGTGCAAAATTTTGTTAGGGATCAACAGCTGTGAAAGGAAGAGGGAGGAAGTTGGCTGCACAGATAAGAAATAGAACTATATAGCAGCCTCCGCCAACATGACAGCGAGTTCTGGAGTGAATATTGAATGACAGACTTGTGTTGAATGGGGCCAAAATGGTCAGGGTCTTTATACCCCTTCCTTGATCATTCATTGCATGTAGGCTGCCCAAGGTAGGGAGTGTGCTCAGCTGAGTTGTTCTCTGCAACTGAGGCAGACCCCCAAGAGATGACATCTAGAGTCTCTCTGCTGATTTTACTGCCTGCAGCTGGTTAGCAAGACATTCCTTGAAGGAGAATCCAAGTGGTTTATTTGGCTTTTACACAGTCCAGTCTTTGCACTGCTGTGATCTGTTTCTCCATATATATTCTGGGAACAGTTCCTCAAGTATTCTGGTGGACATCTCTTCCTGTGGGGAAGCTTAGAAGAGGGAGATTAGTGGGATAAACTACAATTCCTTCTGCTGCATTTGGTATTGGGCTGAAATTTATACTTATTGGCTCTCCACTATCCATTCTCGTTTCCCTCACCTTCAGATAGCATTCTGCTGGCCTTAGATGCTTACCCCCTGTCATGACCCATGTCCTTATCTCTGAGGGACCTGAGAGTGCCCAGACACCATGCTCTTTTCTGGCTGGGATTGCTGAATCTGTCCATTTATAGTCAGAATTGGGCTTGAAAATACTAAGAGGCACCTAAAGAGATCACCTGGGTTCCACGCATATTCCTTTATGCCCATATAATACAATAGCAAGCAGACCTGTCGTGATTAGGTTCCTCTCTATGACTAGGGTCAATTACCCCTGTCAAGACTATGACTCCTTTTCTTGCTCCTGGTATATGGACACAAGGAGCCCTAAATGTCCAGGTGGCAACTTTAGCTTATAATTCAATGGGACTCTTGCTATGTTCCCTGCTGAAATATGCCCCCTTTGGGGACCAGGACCTCTAGTCCCGCACAGCCCAGACTTGGAGGGGAGAGAGAGCACAAACTACTCCATTGAGAGTGATGGTAAGTGATGCCGCTCCCGCTTCTAACCCTTTGTTTCCAGACTCATGTAAAAGTCTCTGATGCAGTGCATATAACACATCCCAGGAAATGGTACCCCATTTTCACAGGCTGTTACCTCCAAACAAGTGCTTCAGCTTCCGTTGCAACTTCAGTAGGTCTTTGCAGTTATCTATTAGGCTGGCAGCTTCTGGATCATGTTGTTTGAGATACATGGTCTTGGGTCCACTTATACAACTCCTCTGATATAAAGTGAGTACTCTTTTCTGGTGTGATATTATATGGGAATACCAGACCAGTGGATCAAACACTCCAGATGCCTTTGGATAGTGGTACTCACTGAGGCCCTTATAGTGAGGTAAGGATATTCAGAATATGTATCTGTCTTAGTTATCTAGTGCTGCTATAACAGAAATACCACAAGTGGATGGCTTTAACAAAGAGAAATTTATTTCTTCACAGTAAGGTAGGCTGAAAGTCCAAATTCAGGGCGTCAGCTCCAGAGGAAGGCTTTTTCTCTCTGTCGGCCTTCTCATCAGTGTTCCCCCGGACTAGGAGCTTCTCGGCGCAGGGACCCCAGTCCAAAGGATGCGCTCTGCTCCTGGCACTGCTTTCTTGATGGTATGAGGTCCCCAACTCTCTGCTTGCTTCCCTTTCCTTTTATCTCTTGAGAGATAAAAGGTGGTGCAGGCCACACCCCAGGGAAACTCCCTTTACATTGGATCAGAGATGTGACCTGGGTAAAGGTGGTGTTGCAATCCCATCCTAATCCTCTTTAACATAAAATTACAACCACAAAATGGAGGCCAATGACACAATTCTGGGAATCATGGCCCAGCCAAATTGATACACACATTTTTGGGGGGACATAATTCAAACCATGACAGTATCTATTCAGACTATGTGTCTATTCCTGTAAGAAGGAACCACTGGCCTTTTCAGGATGATATGATTCCAATCTAGTCAATTTCCCACTAAGTTGCCCTCAAGGAATGGTGCCATGTTAGTGGCTCAGCTTGGTCTTTGTTGCTAGCTGGTTTGCTAGATTGTCTTGATAAGTAGGAATCCATGCTGTTGCACCCATGAGTAGCCTGCCACTCTGGCCCACTTGGTCATGTGCCCATCTTGCCAGTGCTGGGTGGCTAATGCCTGAGGCTGGCCAGTGCTAAGTTACTGGGTAAATTTGTCTACAAGCTGTTCAGTACATCTTCCATGACAGATGTTTTCTGGTGAGAATTAATATGTGATCTAAAGATCTTCACAATTTGTGCCCACTCCCATATATCCATGCTTCTACCCTAGATCTTCTTGTCCTCCATCTTACAGTCTTTATCCTTCCAGGTGCCTGAATAACCAGCCAGACCTTTGCTACTGTCCGTTAGTCTATATATGTTCTAACTTGGACCACATCTCTTTCCATACAAAGTGGTGGCCAGGTACACTGCCTGAAGCTCAGCCCATTGTAAGGATTTTCCCTTGCACTTGTTAAGTCCACTACTGAGAAGTCTATACAGTAAAGCTGCTGGCCATTTTTGTCTGCAACACACATAGTGTGCTGACCCATCCATAAACCAAGGTTGGACTTTTTTCCTCTCTTCCTTCAGCCAGTCATATGGGATCCCCCATAGAGCCGTAAGTACGAGCTGAAGGAGGACTGTTGATGCAGCAGTGCTGGGTACCCTGGAGTTTGGGATACCTGCTTATATAGCATGTTGTGCCCTTTGGTTCTGCTCATGTTCGATGGATTATTTCTGGCCTCCCAACCTATGACTTGCTGGGTTTGACAGAACCCATCTTATGATCGACAATTCTGGCCACATAGGCATTTGGTGTTCCATGGTCATGTGAATTCCATGACCACATGGTGGCTTGGTGTCTATGTTCAGGTGGCCAAATATCATGCCAGGAGTTATTTTCTAAAGATGTTTGTTTGCTGCAGATGGCATGGCCTTACTACAGAACCTCAGAGCCCTGTACTATGATTCTCCCACTGAGGCTTACCACAAACTCCACTCAACATTCTTCTCCACTACTAATACCTTCAACACTATAGAGTTTACCATAGAGTATGATGCCAGTAGCAGGGATGTTTGCACCACAGCCTGGGCCTACTGTAGAACTCTTTCTTTCTCAGGATTCCCCTCAAAGCTGGCAGCCTCTACTGTCAGTGTTCCTAGGTGTCAAATTTGCCTCTTCCAAAAACCAAAGAAGACCCCAGGCATTGTGCTTCCTTTTTCATGGTAGGAGATGCATGATGTAATAATTTGCCCTTACTTTGGAGGGATAACCCAGCATAGCCCTTACTCTTAGACAGTTAAAAAGTTTACTGATGTAGCAGGCCTATGATCACAATTTATTCTTCACAGAGTTTATCTCCCATTCTCTGAGCTCATATGTCTTACCAAAGCCTTCAGTGTGATCACCTTTTCTTGTACATGTAGCTTGATCAACTTATCATCACTGTAATGGATCAATGTGATGTTCTGTGGGATATCCAGATAGTCCATATCTCTCTATACTAATTATGACAGAGGATGAGACAGCTGTTATAGCCCTGGGTTCATAGAACCACGGTACCTGTAAGCTGGACTGTGGTTAAGTGTCTTCACTCTACATGAGAGACATTACAATGCTTTGGGTATCTAGGTATCAGTGTCAACTCAGATCCTATATCCAATAATCCTCAAAATGTATAGCTCTTCCCCTTTCCCCATGCACAGTTATCTGAGTAAGTAGCGATAGTTCCATTTGGTGAAGGACCGGGGGAATCATTGTTTATATTTGCCATGCTGTTGCTACATCCTTCTTCCTGGGGACTTGTGCATCTCTTTAGGCAGTGGGTTCCAGATCTGAAAATAGGTTCCAGTCTAGAAGCTGGACAATTTATTATTAATTTGGGGGGCGGTGGGGGGGGGGGGCAATTGCTTCTGACTTCCCAGTCATCTATCCCTGGCTTCTTCTACTGGTATAAAGTAGTATCCTTGTTGGCTGCCCATCTATTTTGCCTGTAAGGATGGCAGGTTCTATTAACTATCTCTTTAAGTCTTGGTTGCCATTCTGACCTTGCCAGTAGTTATGATAATTGCTACCTCTTGCCCTCTGGGATGGTTAGGCATTGC